CCGGAAACCAATGTCCCCACTGTGGAAGGACATGTGGATCCAGAATTGGCCTCCACAGTCACTTATGGACCCATTGTCAAAACTGTGTTTATGGAAGACAATCTTACTCGGCTACAAGTGATCGCTAAAGAAGAAGAAGAAGTATACACCAAAACCAGCACCTTGAATTTATCCCCGTAAGTAACTGGCAACCAGAGCAATTCGTTCAAAGTGGGGCAACATGTTGGCGATATTCTGCCTTTATTAGGAGGTTAGACTTCAACCTGACTTTATTTAGCCATGAAAGGTGTAGCTTTGGGCAAGTTCTCTACTGTCAGGGCTGCATTATCTCTCACCTCCCACATAGAAATTTTGTACCAGCCTTGTATTTAAGCACTTGTCCAGTTGCCACAGGTGATAAAGAACTTCATGCAGGTGACTCCACTGAGTTCTATGGATGTGAGTGAGAATGCTCTGTCCCTCTTCAAGCACAGAAGCCAAGAGGGCTGCCAGAGGAGGGAAGCCTCAACTTCCACACCAGCACAGTATTATGGGGACATAGCTCTCCATCTCCTCAGCCAGCCCCCAGCAGGCTAATAAGTATTTTTGCAGGCTAGTAAGTATTGTGGGACACGGGTGGCGCTGTGGGTAAAACCTCAGCGCCTAGGACTTGACGATCGCATGGTCGGCGGTTCGAATCCCCGCGGCGGGGTACGCTCCCGTCGTTCGGTCCCAGCGCCTGCCAACCTAGCAGTTTGAAAGCACCTCCGGGTGCAAGTAGATAAATAGGGACCGCTTTCTAGCGGGTAGGTAAACGGCGTTCCGTGTGCTGCGCTGGATCGCCAGATGCAGCTTGTCACGCTGGCCAAGTGACCCAGAAGTGTCTGCAGACAGCGCTGGCTCCCGGCCTATAGAGTGAGATGAGCGCACAACCCTAGAGTCTGGCAAGACTGGCCTGTACGGGCAGGGGTACCTTTACCTTTACCTTTTAAGTATTGTGGAGTTGGGGGGGGGCAGGGTCTTCTTTACAAGACTCACAGTTGTTAAGAGTCTAGCTGTGCTAAATTGATTTTATACGACTTTTAGCAGTCATGGCCTACTCCCAAAGAATCCTGGGAACTGGAATTTGGTAAAGGAGCTGGGGATTCTGTCAGAGTTGTCTAGCATAGCCCCATCCATCCCTGCCCTCTCCCCCCAGTTGCAATTCCCCCAGTTCTTGGGAATGACTATTAAGCCAGATTTAAAGTATGTGGTGTAGATAAACCCATACAATGTATGTGTATTCCCAGAATATGCTGTGTGTACATATGCACATGCTTTGGTGTATGGGAGATGTGTGTGTGAAGGTACCAGCTTTTGGTGGCCATGTTCACAACTGGCATGGAGCCCCCGGGGCCAAAAAGCTTAGACACCCGTGCCTTACAACTGCTTCTGAAGCCCTCTATTCCTAGCAGCTGCTGGAAAATCTGGAAATCTGGCTTCCTCAACTTACTAGGCACCATTCCCAATGGCCAGAAATTTAAATACATAATCCTAATTCTTACCAGGAGCAATTCCTAAACGTTAATCACAGTAAGCCTCCCCAAGGGAAGAGCATTATATTTGAGCACACCCTAAATATAATTAAAGAAAAACCAGGGAGGTTTCCTAGCTGCTAACTCTTACCCATGAAGTGCTTTAGGACTCTGAAGTGGAAAACTCTGGGGACAGAACAGTCGTCATTTTACTCCCTAAAGAAAGCAGTCTCAAGTCATCTTGGCTTTACTTCCCACACACAACTTTGCCCCACCCCTACCCAGCTGCTCATCCAACTTCATGGAGGAAATAGGAGCACAACTCAGGCACATCCTAAAAGTTGACAACAGAAGCCAAGCGCTCAAGCAGTAACTTCCCTGCCCTTGCTCCAATCCATAGGATTTAATTCCCTTGACTAAGCTTGGAATAGAAAGAAATATTTTCCCTAGTTAAACCAGAAAGTAATTACTGCTCGTGTCCATGCATGAACACAACACACACATTTTAGTGTGGATATAGTTGATTTTATCTGTATCACTATCTGTATATACTTTGGCACTAGACTTTCCAGGTGTATTTTGCTTTTACAAGAGGACAGTTGAAAGCTTACCAGTTTATTCATTAATACAATTCGTCGTTCAACTACTTGGGAGAGCCTCGCCAATCAGGGACCTCAGATACTGTGGGAGAAGTGACACAAGATACACAACGAAGCACAGTCTTTGCCCCAAAGAACTGACAGTCTCGATATATAGAGACTCCCACACTCCCAAAGTGCAGATATAGTCTTAGAGTGATGAAGTTATCCGCATGACTAAGTCAGCAGCAAAGTGAAGAATCTGATCTTGGTGTTTTGAGAACAGGAAGACCATTTTGCTTCCATGCTAAGGGCTCAAAAGGTTGTCCACAGTATTTTGAGAGACCCACAACTGAAATTGCCACTGTTGTGCAGAAATCCATCTGTAGCCCTACCCTCAGGGAATAGTCTCTTTTGTCAGCAAAATAGCCAACACAAAATAGCTCTTACAAGGCCAATCTGCAGCTGGGAAAATATAGACATAATCTGAAAACCATGGGGATAATGTTACTTTGCCAAGAAAAGCTCAACAACTTTTGTGTCTGGATTTTCACTTTTTGAAATATGGCAACCCCACCTTTATGGTACAAACGAATTCCATGTCACTGGAAGTGCAAACAACAGTGAGAGACTGTGGGATGCCCACAGACCACAGCATTCCTATTCTGCATATTGTGCTTCCCCTCTTCCTCTCCCCTCTGCCATCTTGGTCTCTAGTACCCGGGAGTTGGAGTCAGCATTCCTAATATTTTTGCTACAGGAGTAGCCAACACAGATCCCAGGACCAATGCAACTTTCCTGGCAATTCCAATTTGCAACTGAATGTGACCATATCAGCGGTGACCAAGCCCAGGCAAAAAGGGGTTGCCCTTAACGATGCAAAGGTAAAGGTAAAGCGGCCCAACGTGGCAGAGGGGTGTAGTGGTTAGAGGTCCCGGCTTCAGCCCACCAATTAGCCACAGAGTTCTTGGGGTGGCTTCCCCAAGGGCTATTTTTCAGTCTTATCTATTTCATAGGGGTGTTGTGAGGACAATATGAGGAAGCTGCAGGAAATCTATGTAGGCCAATTCCACGTTACTTAGACGGGGTAGAAATGTAATAAATGAAACAAATTTTAAAAAAGATCTTGTGACCCAATGGCAGCTTTTGAATGGGAACAAGAGGTAAAGGCTACATGTTATAATCTTTTCTTAGCTCTGTCGTAGTCACTAACTACTTCCCACTCACCTGTACTACAGCTGGGACTAGAGCAGATGAGTGCTTTGCACCCCACACATGTCAGAGCCCCAAGTTGCTTCGTTCCATGTCATTTTTTAACTGGACTAGATTGCACTGAATAGAAAATTTCCCACTGCCTATGCCAGAGATACAGCCATGCCACTCTACCCTCCACCCAAGAGATGGCCCAAGCCCACACAACATGTGGCCCACAAAGCTGAACACAGTCCATCCGCCATACAAAGCCCAGCTTCGTTGGTCAGCATAGTGGAGCATCTGGCTGGGCCCATGCGCTGACCAGAGGGCCTATGGCCAGCCAGAGCTCCCAAAACAAACCACTGATACCCTGCATCTCTCAGGACCCTGTTGATGCCACAGTATCCCTTGGGCATGATTTCCTCTTACACACAGTACATGCCCTGGTGGCCTGGCAGTCACATGGGGGAAATCAGCCAAATAGAACTGAGCAACATCCCAAGAAGGAGACAGAGCACGTGGCAGAGACAGGCTGGCAGTGGCAAGGAGGAAAAGCAACAGTTCCTTCTCTACAGAGTTGGGCCAGCCTAGGCCTCCCTTTTTATTTTCTGTACTTATTTTCTGCACTCCCCTCCCCAAGACTGTGGCAGTGGCGGCAATCCCTGATAGTGCTGGGAAAGGAGCAGTGAATCCCAGGCTGGCCAGTCCAGCACTGCTGCAACCATCCTCTTGCCGCCCATACCAGGCTTCTCATAGGTATGTATATTGGAGGAAGGGGCACTGTAGCTCTCTTGCCCAGGCCTTGCCAAAACCACAGGGGCCTCCCAGGGCCTCACTGAATTTACTGTGTTTCTTGATTTGCCTAGGAAAGTATAAAAACAGCAATTGTCAAGCACCTGACTGAGCACCTAATATATGGGTGGCAGCTTATGTTTGGCTTGCTGGATTACAAACCGTACTCCCTGCCAGGACTATCTCCTTGATCTCTGTATTGGGAGGTTTTTAACGCTTTTAACGTTTTTAACGTTTTTAGATATGCTTTAAGCCACCCAGAGTGGCTGGGGAAACCCAGCCAGATGGGTGGGGTATAATAATAATAATAATAATAATAATAATAATAATAATAATAATAATTCTCTTATCCCTCCTTCATTTTCCATGCATCATGTCTGCTTTAATTCCTAAGCCAGTGGGCAGAGATCAAGGTTATTTACTTGTTCAATGAAAAGCAATAGGTGCTTGATGAGCATTTATATGTTTTACTAATAATGTGTATATTATTATCAATAGCATTGTTTTCATTATTATTAACCTTACTCAAGAAGTAATACATCAATGCCTGATATTTTAAGACCACAGGAATCTGATTTAAATCAAAGCATGCTTCCTTAGCCATTCCACATCCTGCTGTATGCCATTCTGTCTGTGATCTAAGGAAATGCCACCCCTCTCCTGTGGGCAAGGACGCCTTTCTCTGCCCTATCCATTGGTTCCCACAAGTGTGTGTTCAGTCCAAGCCACATCCAGGTATTAACTCTTTCTCCATGGAGGAAAAGATCCAAACTCAGAAATTTATCCAGGGAGACCACACATAAGAAACCACGCAGGTCTCTGGGTGGGATGGGAGCAATCAGGGTGGGTGGGTGGGTGGACATAACGGGAAGAGAGGGGAAGGTGGGGGAGGGGAGATAGGGAATGTGTTTTTCTTTTTCTTAAAAGAAACAGTGCAACTGACCTGACAGTTCTTGAATTTTCCCCATCCGACCTGCAAAACAAAGAGACAAAAATGGTCAGTGCAAGATTATGATTCAGGTCACCGTGAAGGTAAAGTGTTGTGTTGTGGGTGAGGGTTCAGAAGAAAAGAGTTTTGTATTAGAAAATGGTCACACCCAGAGTTCAAGGAGACACACAATGACAAAGATGGATTTGCTGGGGTGGGAGTGGGTCTGTTTTTCTTTAGTATTAAAATTGGAGTCCTTCTGGCAAAGAAATTTTGGGGAATGGTTTATGAGAAATTTAAAAAAATATTTACTCACTTTTCCTAAGAAGCCAGAAGCCTTCCTTTTAGCAATAATAGGGGAAGAGATTCCAAAGAACGTTTAAAATCTATTTTGTTAGCGGCCACAAGAATAGTTTATGCAAAGTACTGGAAGGAGGAGGCAACTCCGACAAAGGACCAATGGTTGCATAAACTAATAGAATGTGTGGAATTAGCAGGTTTAATGGCCAAAATAAGAAACTGGGACAAGGAAAAAATAAGGAGTGAGTAGGATTGTTTTGGAAAATATTTTAAAAGTTACTTTCCAGGTAGGATGAACTTAGGACCAGCAACTGACAAGATACTGTAAATGAATAGAGAGGAAGAAAAAGGGTGGAAAGTCTATTGGGGATGCAGAAATCCAAAGAATATGGACTAGAATGTCACTGAAGGATAGATTGGGGAGCCCATACAGACTGGATACATAAATCCATGTTTATAAATGTGTGCAACTTTAAATTTGAAAATGCATAAATATAACTACTATTATTTAAATAATAAAATTGGAGTCCTTTTGGAACAGATTAGGGGTGAATAATGGGGATAGCCAACTTCTGTAGCTTCCCCATAGAGCCCACCAGTAATGAGCTGAAAAGAGTTGGTTGTGGTTTTCTTAGCAGCAGCATAGCATGTGCTACCAGCGCCTGGGGCAGGCACACTGGGGGGCAGAGCACATTGGTATGCGGAGGGCCAGCCCTCGTCACTGACACCACGGCTTCAGATCAGGCTGATGGGGCTGATCTGAAAGGCACACACGCTGCCTGGCTCTGAGAGGTGCCGGATTTACGTAGAAGCTAAACAAGCCATAGCTTAGGGCCCTACTCTCTTGTGCCCCCCCCCCAATTCACTATTAATATACTTCTTCTTAATTGTATTTCAGTTCAACAATTACTTTGATAAAATACATGTTTGGTTATGTGCAAATGGCTTTAGGTCCATAAATTACCATATAGCATATATTCAACACAAAAAACAGTGACAATTGTTGTTGACAAAGGACAGCTGGACACATAAAGGGCCCCATTACCTTCAGGAGCTCCTTAGGGCCTCATCAAACCTAAATCTGGCCCTGGGTTGGACTGTGGGATCCCAGCCTGGCAAAGCGGCAGGGGGGCGCACGCCTGAGCCTAGCGGAGGAGGGGGCAGTGATGCTGCCACAGGCTCCCCCCCCCCCACTTCTGCCCCTGGGAGATGCCCTCTTCCTCCCTCCTTGGTGGCTGGTGGTGGCAGCACCCTTCCCCTCCCTCCTGGCCGGCCCAGGGGTGGGGCCCACGCAGGTGTCCCTTCGCTGGCCATAAGGAGAGGGAGGCATCACTGCCCCCCCCCGGCCCGGAAGGCTGCAACCTCTCTCTCTCTGGCTCCAGCTTTGATGACGGAGCCTGTTGTGGGGACACCTGGTTGTGCCCCCTCAAAAAAGCGTGCCGGGGGCATGGCTTGCCCAGCCCCTCCCCACGCTAGGCCACTGTTTCTGTGAAACCACACACACAAACGCCGCACACACACAGGGCCCTGTTTTGTACACAGAGGCAAACATTTTGCCTCCTTCAAAAAGGCAACTGTTAAGGGGGGGGGAAGGATCACAATTTCACAGTAGAAGGTAACCTCCACGCCAAAAAATAATGATATTTTGGGGGGAAATGTCATGTCCTCCCCACACCTCAAGAAACAGTTTTTAAAAATAGCTCCATGGAAATTTTGCTACATAACTGAACTTGAAATTTTGGCACAACCTCATTCTCTACGCCCAATCCCAGTCTGTAGCTGCTTTAATTCCATGATTCCTTCGCCTCAAAATCCTAATGTGTGATCCCTCTGCTGCCTGGACTTCTGGCCTACCTGAGGACTCCAGCAGCCATTAAGAGGTTTAAGAGGAGTATATTTTTACCAGCAAACCAAACACATTTGGGTCAATAGAGTATCTTTATAGAATTGGCAAAGTGATAAATGTTATATGGGAATTAGGAGTCAGTGGCATAGGAGAGGTACCATATTATGGTGCATAACCTTTTCACTCTCCTCTTGAATGGGCCTGTACCCAGTGGCGGAGCTTCATGCTCCAGCACCAGGGGGCGGAGAGCAGGCGGGGGCAGGGCTGGCGCGTGTCCTGGGGGCGGGGCATGCCGCCTGCAGGGCATGGCGCCCAGCACGGGCAGGGGGCAGCCGCAATGGCACCCCACTGGGATTGTGCTGCCAGGGGCAGTGCGCTCCCCCCCTCTTCCTCCACCAGTGCCTGTACCTAGGGACACGGGTGGCGCTGTGGTCTAAACTACTGAACCTCATGGGCTTGCTGATCAGAAAGTTGGCAATTCAAATTTGTGTGACGGAGTGAGTTCCTGTTGCTCTGTCCCAGCTTCTGCCAACCTAGCAATTTGAAAGCTCACCAGCGCAAGTAGATAAATAGGTACCGCTGCAGCAGGAAGGTACTAAATGCCATTTCTGTGCGCTCTGGCACTCATCATGGTGTCCTGTTGTGCAAGAAGCAGTTTAGTCCTGCTGGCCACATGACCCAGAAAGCTGTCTGTGGATAAACGCCGGCTCCCTCAGCCTGAAGCGAGATGAGTGCCGCACCCCATAGTTGCCTTTGACTGGACTTAACCGTCCAGGGGTCCTTTACCTTTACCTTAAGGGACTACGGACTAAAGTTACTCCTGTAATAATTGGGGGTCAGATTTTAGCCAATGTGGAAAGGAAAAGCTAGTGATGTCATTAGTTGGTTCAGGAAATTTGCCCAACTTGGAGCACTGCGCTATATCAGCATTTCCAGCTCCAAATTTCTGATTCTGTGTGGTCAACATTCAGCAAAGCAGGCGCCCATGGGCAAATGTGCATATCCTACCACCCATAATGGAACCCTCACCTGGTTGCATTCAATACTTTGAGCAGGACCCACTGAAATTAATGGACATGAATAACAGAAGTTCCTCGATTTCAGTGGCTCTACTCTGGGTTTGACTAGTTGCATACAGCTACTCAAGCTCCAAAGCCAGTTGATTTGCAGGCACACATTCAGAGTAAATAATAATTATTTAATAATAACTGCTTACTGTCAATGAAACGCAAGTTGATTGCTGTGAATTTCATGGTCACAGACTACCCAATCAAGCAGCTTTCCACTGTTGTGCTCAATCAAGTGTCTTGATTATTTCTTGCAAATTCAGCATATACAGTCAGTGTCTCATCCCGTCCAGATCTCAACCCAGGGAATTTGTGGCCAGTGCTATTTTTCTAGGGGAAAAAATAAGTGTTGGAGCTCACTATGAGCTCACCTTTGTGCTCTTATAATGGCAGTGGAGGTGCCAAAACTGAGTTCCAGCGAGTTTCAGCTGGAAAAAAAGCCTTACTTGTGGCCCTCCAGATATTGTTGAATTCCAGCTCCCATTAGCCTCAGACAATGTAGTCAATGTGGTCAGAGATGATGGGAGTTGTAATCCAGCAACATCTAAAGGGCCACAGGTTCCCCACCTCTCTTGTTCTTGCATGTATTTGGCATTGGGGCAGGGCTGGGGCAAGGGGTTGAATTTCCAAGTGCTCTTCACAATGGCTGGTACTATGGGCTGGATGCAGGGCAGGTGAAACCAATACCCAGAGGACAATACAATACAGTGGTTCCTCGGGATAAGTACTTAATTCATTCCGGAGGTCCGTTCTTAACCTGAAACTGTTCTTAACCTGAAGCACCACTTTAGCTAATGGGGCCTCCTGCTGTCGCCGTGCCGCCGGAGCCCAATTTCTGTTCTTATCCTGAAGCAAAGTTCTTAACCTGAAGCACTATTTCTGGGTTAGTGGAGTGTGTAACCTGAAGCATATGTAACCTGAGGTACCACTGTACATACATCTGCATGTGACAGTATTATAATCTGGGAAAGAACTCTCTGAAAAAAGACAAGTGTTTTCAGAATGCTCAACTAAAGCTCACAAATACCAAACTGGTTTCAAATCAAGCTCTGAGAAGCTCAGCTATCATTATTAAAAGCCTAAATACAAGTAGCCTTGTACTTTTACATAGTTATAATTTTAAGAAAATAAAGACAAATGCCATATCAACCTTCCCAGTACATCTGCACTAACTGGTAGAAAACTGAAAGGTGGGAGCAAGCTTACTTCATACTTCAACGGAAGACTGCCTGTACATTTCCCCCCAACTGCACCCAAAAGGGCTGGTGTCTAATAGATCCTCCAAGTGTCCCTACTTTCCAGGGACAATCCCAGATTTACGGAAGCTGTCCCAGTTTCTGATTTGATCCCAGAATGTCCCGTTTTTCCTCAGAACATCCATCGGAGAAATGTTGAAGTGTATGGTAGGACATCCCTATTTTCATCTGAAGGTATGGGAGTTATGTGATAATACAACCTTTAGAAGACATCTGAAGGCAACCCTGTATAGGGAAGTTTTAAAATATTTTATTATGTTTTTATATATGTTGGAAGCTGCCTGTGGCAACCCAGTCAGATAGGCACAGTATAAATAATAATAATAATAATAATAATAATAATAATAATAATAATAATAATAATAATATAATAGAATAGGACATCCCTGGAGAAATGGATTCACTGGAGAAATGTTAAGAGAGTATGGACTAAGGGCCAAACTCAATAAGATCCAGGAGTGGATCTGCCATCTCTTTTACTTTTTTTAAAGCAGCTTCTAAGGAGGCAGAACAGATCAAGGCTATAATGTTGAGGGCTATGAACTCTTTCCACTGCTACACCATTTCCCCAGCGTT